TCTGACATGGTAACGTGACATGGTAACGTGTGGTCTGACATGGTAACGTGACATGGTAACGTGTGGTCTGACATGGTAACGTGTGGTCTGACATGGTAACGTGTGGTCTGACATGGTAACGTGTGGTCTGACATGGTAACGTGTGGTCTGACATGGTAACGTGTGATCTGACATGGTAACGTGTGGTCTGACATGGTAACGTGTGGTCTGACATGGTAACGTGACATGGTAACGTGACATGGTAACGTGTGGTCTGACATGGTAACGTGTGGTCTGACATGGTAACGTGTGGTCTGACATGGTAACGTGACATGGTAACGTGTGGTCTGACATGGTAACGTGTGGTCTGACATGGTAACGTGTGGTCTGACATGGTAACGTGTGGTCTGACATGGTAACGTATCGTCTGACATGGTAACGTGTGGTCTGACATGGTAACGTGACATGGTAACGTGTGGTCTGACATGGTAACGTGTGGTCTGACATGGTAACGTGTGGTCTGACATGGTAACTATGATCTGACATGGTAACGTGTGGTATGACATGGTAACGTGTGGTCTGACATGGTAACGTGTGGTCTGACATGGTAACGTGTGGTCTGACATGGTAACGTGACATGGTAACGTGTGGTCTGACATGGTAACGTGTGGTCTGACATGGTAACGTGTGGTCTGACATGGTAACGTGTGGTCTGACATGGTAACATGTGGTCTGACATGGTAACATGTGGTCTGACATGGTAACGTATCGTCTGACATGGTAACGTGACATGGTAACGTGTGGTCTGACATGGTAACGTGTGGTCTGACATGGTAACGTGTGGTATGACAACCCTATGGTGTTTGGGGGGGAGGTCCTCATCTAACAGTGGATTGGCAAAAAGGGCTGCGCACGTGCATGCAACGGCGTAAACAATCATGGTCATAATTGAATAATTGTATCTGGTCTGGAATTGCACCCAGGAATGGAAAGACAATCTCCGTGCTGCATCGGTGCAAACGTGCTACACCCCCCCCCCCCCACCCACAATCTGGGTTTGATTCCTGGCCACAGCTAACATCTGTGTTGAGTGATATCTAAACCAGTCCTGGCCAGGCCACCCAATTTTACTAATCAGTATTCTGACTAGCGTTGTGCAAAGGGGGGGGGGGGGGTCGAATAACCCCCACGGGGCCTGCACGCCTGTTGAGCTGACCAGCGTGGTGAAGCTAAGCCGGGTTGAGCCTGGACAGTGCTTGGATAGGCAATCAGGTTTTTCCTCCCCACCCGCCCGACTCAGCTTAGTGACCACGCTCCAGGCTCTGACCCTGGGTGACCACGCGGCTTATGTCCGCACGGCGCCCAGGCTCTGGAATTCCCAGCCCCTCGGTGTTCAGGAACTCAGAGACAATGAAGACCCCCACCACCGCTTAGAATGTCCCCCCTCTCTCCTCTCTCGCTCGTTCTATATATGATCTCTTTCGTTTTTTCTCGCCGGTTCCTTCTCACTAATTATCCTCCTGTATTTGCCTGCCGCTCTGAGATCCATTGTTTAAGGGCGCCTCATAAATCAGATTTTTTTTTCATATCGTAGTTGTGTCAAGGCTCTGAAACGATGTTGTACGGCAGCAGAGGCCATCTAGCAGTGAATTGACAAAAGGGCTCTCTACATGTACACATACTGCAGAGACAAAGATCCTCTGTGTAGCCTTTCACCGACTGTCGGGGCAAGTGCCGTTAGCGAGCACCTTTAAAGGACCCCACGGCACACGAGGGTGAGGGCGGCCGCCTTTGTCTCCCCAGTGATGTTTACATCCCGCACCAGCTACCGACCACACGTAAAGGGCCGAGTCGACCTAATATAGGCCCAACATCGGTTCATAAATCTCTCACTCAATGTTGGTCGTGAACGGGGCATCGACCTCGGCTCGCCGAGTTCGTAGCGCAGTGCACTGACCGCTGTGCACACGCACACGCGCCCATGCCGCACACACGTGCACACGCACACGCGCGTGTGCGTGTGCACGCGCACAATGGAACTGGGACACCCATGTGGTGCGGGGTCACGCGGGTCATCTGAGGCCGCGCGGACGGTCTCTCGCGCGTGCAGGGCGCGCACGTCCGCTGTGAGGAAAAGAGCCCCCCCACACATCCTGGAGACTGACTTATATTGTAAACACGGGGCTCAACAATGAAGCAACGTAGCATTCAGTCGTCGGGGTGACCCTGGTCACTCTTACAAAAGGGGCTCCATCCTGGCCTCTTCAGTTCTCACCTGGTTGAGAAAAATAAAACTTGACCATGTATTTGGGCGTCACTGGAATCTCCAGTCGCCTTTATTTCCCTGAAAGCGACTTGTGACTTTGAGTTATCAAACTGGATATGAGCGGACAATGGATATGGCGCTGTTTCGACTCATTTCATGCCAGGTTAGCTGACATGAATGCTGAGCAGCTAAGCACCGTTGATCCTGTATGGTGCTTGTATGGACAAGTCGAGTGTTATCGGCTGTGAAGCTACGGGTAAGGCAGCAGAGGTGCAGTGGTCCAGAACCCGTTGATGTGCTGTAAATCTAAGTTCCACCAAACTGCAATGACTAGCATGGTGAAGTATGGTCGCATAACCCCCCATGACCCGCGCCGCTTGGGGAGGCCCTCATCCAGCAGTGGTTTGACAAATGCACAAAACCGTGGATTGCTGATGACTGGGGTATGTAGAGGTCAGATGTGAAAAATCCAAGTGATTTCCTGTTCAAATGATCATTGATGGAGTGCTCTTGTCCCGATAACAGCCGTAATCTGGTGGTAGAAATTCCAGATTCCTATGGTGGAGGTGAGTAGATCCATAGGACAGCCACATAGCGGTTATAAGTAATGGCATGTAATCCTGTGTTTTGGTATTTGTTTAAAGCCATTTGCTACATTCGTACTGTTATGGCTATGCCTGTGGGAGTGCATTCGTGTCTGTGTGTATCTTTGTGTCTCAGTGTCTCTGTATGTATCCGCGTCAGTCTGTATCTGTATCTGTGTGTGAGTGTATGCATAGCTGTGTGTCTATGTGTGTGTCTCTGTGTGTGCCGCTGCGTATATCTGGAGACACGCACACACAGATGTGTGTGTGTGTCTTCCATGTCTGCTTGCCCCACTACGGAGTTGCTAGGGGAGGGCCGGGGTGGTGGCCGTCGAGAGCCTGCTGCACCACACCATGACTAGAGTGGAGGGTGGCGGTGGGGGCTTGAGGTTCTTTCCTTTCCAGCCGAGAAGAAGCTCTGTTGGACAGATATGGACCCCAGCCATGGGAACGTGGAATTGATCACCACTGGTATAGGGTTACCGATGGCAAATAAGTGCTAGTCCATTCCTCGTTTTTGAATGGAGACTCTATGACTTGAGTTTGCCTCTGACCAGTGCATAACTTTGGTAATCTGATTATACTCATTATTTTTGATTACTTCAGAAATGCACGACTCCCCGACACTGCTCCCCTATCGAAACCCAAGATGATCCCATTTCAGGCCCCAGCCTACAGTTTCAAGTTAATGTTCTTTAACCAGGCGAGAACGCAAGAGCGCAGGAGAGAGTCTCACGTGGAAGAGTGACTGGTAGACAATAGAAGACAGCGGTGGTGCCCGCCCATCACGAGGCCCAATGCAGACACTCTTTTTGGGCCCCTTTCAATTCATGAACTCCTCGTCAGATGTTAGAAATCGAGTTGCCGTCCCGAAAGCGCATTCCCATGTTACGCGTGGTCATCATTTGGGAAAGCCCAACTCTCGCGATCACCGAGTCGAAGTTTCACGTTAACACAACTTTTTTTTTAATTGCAAATCGAGGTGCACTTTGACTTGAGCTCTGGGGGAAAAAAAAAACCCCACCCGGCCCAGCTTGGGTCGGCTGCCCCATGCAAACCCCCCACTCGCGGTGACCTGGCTGCTGCTACTGGCACCGCTCCCTCCACACGGCCACTGGAAGTGGCACACGCAACGGCGGTCCGGTGAAATTGGCACCGCGAATTGAAAGTTGTTCATGTAAACTAACGCCTGTAAAACTATTGGGCATTGGTGGTAGTGGTGGTGGTGTTGCGGAGGGAGTGTTCTTCTCACTCCCTACTGTGTACGAGCTATCTTCAGGTACACAGTGGTACGCAATAAGGCATTGGCCAAAATTTTCTGAGGCAGCGTCCTGCTGAAAATGAGCACCGATACTCAGTGAGGCTTTGCTGGTGATATAAACACTGATCATGCACTGCTACTAATAATAATTGTCAATACTTGTAATCAATTATACTGGCCTCTGTCATTGAAAAACGGATGTTATATTACTGGCTCCGGACCATGAACGAGTTTTTAGCGCCAGGCCATGCAGGCGGTCACTTTGAATGTTTGACTTTGAATAACTTTACCATTGTGTAAACGCTTTCATTAATAAACATGCTGCATAATGTTTTTTTGGCGACAATGATGATGATGACGATGATGACATCATGTGGAGCAACAGCGAGATCTCACGGCGTGACGATGAGTTGTAATGGGAGATGCGAAGTGAATCTCAGAGATGTTTTTGGAGAATGAGACAAAGTGGCAGCGTTGTTCAGTGGATGGTGCACTGTTATTGAGGCAACGGCCCCAATAACAGTTCAGATCAAAGCCATTCCTCGGTGTGTTCACTCGATATATTTTCGTGATAAATATTGCTTGGCCACTTTGGCAGCTTCAGTCGTCGTTGATCGACGTACGCCCACAGGGTTGATGATGGCATTCGTCGTTCAATTATAGATGTTCTACATCAACATCAGCCCCGCACCTCCGATTAGCACGGTTGGCTATGTACGGTGCGAAAGAAGTTCAACATACATACATAATACATGGCAGAAGTCGAGTTATAAGTGTGTGTTTGTCGATGTTCCAATCCTTGCATCCACCAACCTAATTGGCTGCGAGGCGCTTTGAGACTAATTCGGGCAAAGGCACCACGTAAAATCGACGACAAAGGACCGACCGCGCAACCGCTCCGCCCGCTCACCCGAGTGCGGCAGGTGATGGTGTAGCCGCCGAGGCGACGTCCGCAGGCCGCCACGAGCTCGTCCATGGCGGCGAGCAGGCGGCCAGTGGCGGGGCACGAGGCCTCTCGGCCGTCCACCCAGGCCGTCCGGTCCCCGCGCACCACGGCGGAGTCGTGGCGCGGACTCACGAGCTGGCCCGCGCGCAACAGCCCGGCCGTGCGCAGGCCCTGCACCTGCGTTGCCCAGGTGACACGCGGGTTGGGGGATAGACGTTGGGGCGCCGCGGTAGCGAGATGTTGGCTACCTCGCCTGGTGCACAGGAGGTCGTGGGTTCAATCCCGGCCCTGACGCCTGCTGTACATTTAGAATCGACGTGCGTTTAGAGTATTTGGCTGCTATAAATTTCCACATAAGCCACTTCGTTGAGGTATCATTTGTGGCCAGGTCGCTTCTGAAAAAGAGCTGTATAGCTCAGTGGGCCTTATCTGGTAAAATAAAAAAAGTTTAGTTTAGACCCAGCAGAGTGTGCGGTCCATGATGGGTGGTCAAGGATCAGTTTAACTAAATAGGTATAGTATTTTCATCATTATCATCACGACCATCAATCGGCATCAGCCATGGTCAATCCACTGCTAGGTAAAGGACTCTACAACATCATATCGGTCATCAGGGTTGTCCACGACAGGTTCCGATATTGCACGACCACTGATACAATGGTCGTGCAATATCGGAGACAAATACTAAATGAGATAAGGTCTTTGCGTGTCAACAGACTCGCACGACTGTTGCATCTGGAGTACTGTAAGTTCTCAATGAACCGTTAGTGTGTAATTGCTGTATGAGGTTGATTGTATACATTCAATCAAATATGATTGTTTTTATTTTAAAGTATCTGTTCATGTGTCATTACGTTTTTGCGATGTATGTGACAATTGACAGCCCTGGACACTCTGGTAAACGAGATGTTCCATCTCAAGGGATTGTCCAGGTGAAATACTTTAACCGCTTAACAATGCAGTTGAAATCTGAGCATCCCATACCTCGGCCAACACGTAACTGCCGCTCTCCTCTCCCAGGAATCTGTCCAGAATACAGAATCCAAATCTCTCCATGTGTGGCACCACCAGCCCCAGCGCCATGTCCCGCAAGGAGCTTCCTCCTCCTCCTCCTGCTGCTGCTGCTGCCGGGCCTCCGTTACACTCCACCTGTAGTCGCTCAGGAGTTTGATGCTGCTGCTGCTGATGAGGATGTACATTATAGCTATTGTCATGATAATAATCTGGATCATGATTATTCGTGTGATGACTGTTATGGTGCAGGGGAGGAACATGACTTGGCACCATAGGTCCTCCGTGCTGATGATACTGCTGCTGATGATTGCAATGTATATCTCGCTCAGAGTCTGGGTGATAGGATGGAGGTTTGGAGAACTGTGTGCCGTGGCTGGAGTTGGCATCCCACCATCGTCTACACCACTCCACCTCGGGTCCATCTCCAGCTCCTCCATGTCCTTCACTTACGTCTTCACCCCCATATGCAACACCTCCATGTCCTCCGTCTCCACCATGTCTTCCTTGCTGTCCAGTGCCTTCGTGCGTTACGTCTTCTCCACGTGTTCCACCTCCATGTGTTACAGTTCCTGGAAATCCTCCATGTGGCGGGTCTCTTTCACGTCCTTCTCCCGCATGGGATAATTCTCCAACTTCTCGTTGTCTTCCATGTATTACATCCTGCCCGTATCTCCTTTCTTCTCCACGTGTTACATTTCTCCCATAACCCCCCTCTCCTCCTTGCGTTATATCCTCCCCCTGTCCCCCGATGCTACCATGTGCCATATTTTCATAATATCCTCCCCCTTGCCCATGTGCCCCATGTCTTTCCTCTCCCCCATGGAGTAAATCTCCACCAACACACTCTTTAGTTCCTCCATGTGGTACATCTCTTCCGTAAATTCTATCTTCCACATGTGTTATGGCTCCTTCATATCTTCCAACCCTTCCATATATGACGTCTTCTCTATGGCCTGCACATCCTCTCACTTCTCCATGTGCAACATCTCCTCCGTGTCCTCCGAGCGTCGTGCTTTCTCCGAGTATCACATCGTCCCCTCCATATCCTCCACGGAGGAACGCGTTGCCACAAGATGCACCGCTCGGCACGAACATCTCCGGATGCGAACGAGCACAAACTTTCCCGGCGACGTGACCTCTCCGGCTCAGCCTACGGCAGGTCGGCGCTCTCCGGTTCGCACCACCGCCACCGCCATCATCAGAAGGTCCTTCCTCGAGCGAAGGCGCATTGCACTTGCGCTCAGATCCCGGCAGAGCGCTCCCGGGCACGTTGAAGAGCTCGGCTACGGGTGATCCTAGGGACGGCCACCCGGGCACAGAAGCACCGTGCGGCCCCACATCCCGAACCCAGTCCCAGTCTGCAAGACCCGGAAAGTTTTTGTAAACGCCCTCGTTTTCTTCCACATCTTCCCCTTGCTCGTTCTCCTCCTCCTCTTGTCCGAGTGGGTCGTGGCCGGGCATCGTGGGTGGCCCGTTGAGATCTAAGCGTGCCCTCTTTGCACCGAGCACCCCGCGGTTGGGCAGCTCGTACTGCCCGGTTTCGTGGCGTCTCTTCATGATGCTGCTGCTGCTGCTGTTGCTGCTGCTGTTGGATGGAGGCACGGGCGCGGTGGCCACGCGGCATTCTTGCTGCTCATGCCCGGATGAGCGGTGGAGAACATCCACACACGCGGCGGCGGCGGCAGCCTCTCCCAGCCGTGTGTGCGCGTGCGCCACGATCACAACACGCAAGCCCTCTCTCTCTCTCTCGTGCACTCCTCGAGCCCTTGAGGTCCTCGCCACTCACCCCACCCTCTCCCCACGTCCTGGAGATGTTTTTTTAAAGTAAACCAACACCCCCCCCCCCCCCCCCCCCCCCGACGTTCAAACCCACCCACCCACTCACAAATCAAATCTAGCCACTCGCCCAAAGACAAAGATCTCCCATACAGTCTTAACAGACTGTTGGGGCAAGCGCTGTTTGCGAGCACCTATGAAGGCCGGCACGGCTCTCTAGGGGATGGGTTGCCAGGACCACGCCCGGCCGCCTTTGTCGCCTTAGTGGTGAATATTTACACACCGCACCAGGTTATCATTTGAAGCTGAGTCGACCTAGGGGAGGCCTTGGACCGGTTCAGATTATTGTCAGTGATGTTGGCCGTGTTGACCGAATTGGCCGTGAGCGGGAATTGAACCTGGGTCACTGGGTCCGCAGCGCAGCACGCACCGCTGCACCCACCCACCCAGCACACACCCACCTACTCACCTACCCATCCATCCACTCACAAATATAGCCATTCACCCACCCATCCACTCACCCACTCACAAATCTTGCAACTAGTCCACCCACTCATCCACTCACACATTTAACCATTCACCCACCCCATTAATTTACACATCCACAAACCCAGTCAGACAGCCTGCCAGGAGCCAGACTCTCCGATGGAGCCAAGCCTGGACTGCACGCTTCCAAACTCACAACTCGTCCGGTAGATGTAGCACAGCGTCCGCTGAATGCCACGGTGTGCGACACGTGCAGGCAGATAAAACACTCAGGCAAGGCTTCAGCCAATGGGGTCGTCCCGGGAGTTAAGGGTTGGAGATCCCCTAACAAATATTCCATGAGTTATAATCCCTGCCGACACGTCGCCATTCGTTCGTAAGCAGAGAGACTTGCTCCACGTGGAGGACAGCGTAGAGCCTGAGGTGGGGTCCCCACAGGGAGGGTTCCACGCAGAGACGCTGCTTGTGCCAAGAGTCGCGGCTCCGTGCGCTGCTGCCACTTTGTAAAGAAAAGGACGTGCTTTGTGTTTACCGTGTACTTATATACACGTCGATACTTTCTTGACATTGCATTATGATGTGGAAGGGTTTTTTTTTCCTTCTGAATTTGCCCTTCTGTTTGGTAAGAGCCAGCGGTGGAAATTCCACGTTAACATGGAGGGGCCCAGCCTATCCATAGGATAACTGCTGTCGTCCTAACATCCCAACGCCCTTGTTCGCCGATAGCACAACTCCTGGGCATGCATTGCGTATGCATATTCATCGGCCAGAGTGGTGGCGCGGCGGCCCAGGGGAAGCGCGCTGTTGCAGAGGTTCACGGTGTGAATCCACGGGCCGCCCAGATTATTACTGCGGGTGTATTGACCGTAAAAAATATATACTTCGCGTCGTCTGCTTCACAGTGCGCGTTCGAAATTCCCCGTGAGGTCATTCGCAAGGCCCACTGTGTGTCTGCGTCGTGGGCGACACTTTGCGAAATTTGATTAATGCACGGCACTCACCGCGTCCTCCTGCAAACGTTTGGCAGGACCCTCCCGAAAAAGAGTCACGAGACTCCATGAAGCTTTTCTGGGTACACAAGCAGAGTGTCTATAGTTATCTGACCGTGAATGGCAGTCAGTGGCAATTCCAGCTGAGTACGCAAAGCGGACGCATGGCGACCTCTGGTGGTAAAAAAACCCTCCAGGTTTGAGAATTGGCGTTTAAAACCAGAGGGCAATTGAGATGTTTAATCCAATGCTTATACACATTGAGCAGTACACACAAGGGCTCATGAGAGTGTAACGTGTCATATATGGAACTAATTGCACCCATTTATTTATTGTGAACTACTGTTTGATGTGGTGAATTAAAAACTCCACTATCACCGCTCCAAAGTAATTCTCCCATTGTGGTACTTGGTACTGTCCTAGGCAGGCAGACCTGTCCTCCCATGTCCTATTGCCCTCACGATAAGCACAGCTTGAGTTTCCCTGATGTCCCGTTATGAAAACCAATTTTGTTTTACCAGTGACCGTGATGAAACCTCTCCCACCATGTCCTTTCGCAAGCCATCTCAACAACAAACCACACACATCGTTCAAGGGAACTGTGAGGCCAGTTAATTTTGATTCTCGGTCGTTTCTCAGCAAAATTCATTCACACTTTGGTCATCACAAAAAAAAAGCCTTTTGGAATTGCTATCTTTTTTTTCTTCTGAAATTTAGTAAAATATTGCTACTGTGTGAAAGTTTGGATTTGGGGCACAATGTAAACGTGATGGGTTCCTACTTGTGGGTACCAAACGCTCTGAACACCCACTTGGGGAGGTGTCACGTGCCGGTGAATTAATGTACTCTACAGCAGCGGTCCCCAACCTTTTTGGCACCAGGGACCGGTTTCGAAGAAGACAATTTTTTCACGGACCGGGGGGGGGGGTTCATCATTGGGTCTTTCCCCCTTTTCAAAGAAGCTCTCCAGCGACGTTTTTTTACTCATTTTGGCTACTAGGGGTCAGCTTGTGGGCTTACCAAAACTGTGACTGAGACAAGTGCGCTGTGCGGGAAAGAGGCGCGGACGGAAGTGGTAAATAAAACAATGGGTGGGCCACGCGCAGACTCACCGCTCGCCTTCTGGCTGTGCGGCCCGGTTCCTAACAGGCCACGGACCGGTACCGGTCCGCGGTCCGGGGGTTGGGGACCCCTGCTCTACAGTACGCCAAGCAGCCAGCAACGAGCAGCAACTATCAAAGTTGTAACAGATAAAGAGTGTAACACGTTTCTTGAATGAGAAATGTTATGGGGTTTTGTAAAGAGAGATGATGTGAGGGAATTCCAATGAAGTGTGGGGGGGGGGGGGGACCACGGGGTTCTAATATGGGATATTCAAGGTAATTGAGGTACAGTATTCCATCGACGGCACGGATAAGCAGACCGTAGCCTCATTTCTACATCTGCTTATCCGTTGGTGTCGCACTCTGCCAATGGCAATCCCATCGGTCGCGCGGCATTCCTGCTTGGGAATGCGTCTTCAATTGGACCGCTTTGGTGGGACACGAGCAACACTCCGAAGCGATTTCGACGTTCAGTGGCTAAAACAGCGGTCAGCCTCGCGTGATACAACGCTGGTTGACCTGCCAAGTGTGTATAGGCAACGGCCCATAACTGTTAGATATGTATTCTTTGGGTCTTTCGGTAAAGCCACGTAGATAGAAAAATAATAGAAAATAGAAAATATCACGACGTTTCGATCGCAACACAAGCAATCGTCATCAGGTTAAAATGTATAGCGTGAGAGCTGCTGAGGCAGAGTGTTATATAGGTTTGAGATGGATCTAGCCCAAGGTAAAGTGGGCGGGGCTAGAGATGGAATTTGCATGTCAATGTAAGATCGGAGAGCTGCTGAGGCAGGATGTTATATAGGTTTGAGATAGGTGTCGCCCAAGGGTAGGTAGGCGTGGCTAGAGATGGGTGTAGCCCAAGGGTAAGTGGGCGGGGCTAGAGATGAAATTTGCATGTCAATGTAAGATCGGAGAGCTGCTGAGGCAGGATGTTATATAGGTTTGAGATGGGTGTAGCCCAAGGGTAAGTAGGCGTGGCAAGAGATGGGTGTAGCCCAAGGGTAAGTGGGCGGGGCTGGAGATGGAATTTGCGTGTAAATGTAAGATCGGAGAGCTGATATGGGTTCCTGGTTCGCCAATAAACTTTATAATACACAACAGAATAATTGTTGGCGTCCTTGTGGAGGCTATAAATCGCATTAATGGGACTTTGTAATCGAATTGCTGCATGAAATAAACCGCGTGCCCTATTGCCCAATCAGACTTCAAACATTTTAGCAAGTCACAAAAAAAAAGATTAATTTATATTTTGTATAAATACGGTTATGAAAACAAAGACGAAGTTAATGTTCTCGTGCTATAACTGCAATTGCCTGAAAAAAATGTTTCAATAAATTCTAAAATAAGAGGTAGCCAATAGGGTGGCGCGTACCTCCGCAGCAGGCCCCCCCCCCCATCCACGCGGCCACTGTCGCGCGTTCCCATTGGCTGCTAACCCTCGTGCATCGAGTTGGGCCCGCGCAAGCAGAACAACGTCCCGTCGATGTAACACAAACGTCGTTCATTATCATCACTGCCGACGTTCTCAACATCGTCCCGTTGTTGTTGTTATTATATAGGTGGTGTGCGACTGCGTGCGGTCACCGCGCGAGAATCAAGCGCTGCACAACACGAGGACGTTGCCGGCTTCAAGTACACGGGTACGACGGTGCTGACAAACACAACAACGACAAAGATACCCCGTGTAGCCTCAATACACTGTAGGGGCAAGTGCTGTTAGCGAGCAGCACCTATGAAGGCCGGCACGGCACGCGACGGGGTGGGGTGGCCAACACCACGCCCGGCCGCCTTTGTCTCCCCCAGTGGCGATGTTTTTACTACACACCGCACCGGGGCACTCATTTGAGGCTGAGTCGACCTAGGGGAGGCCCAGGACCGGTTCAGATAATCGTCACTGGGTGTTTCGCCGCCACCACCACCACACTTGAGACGCTCAACGACAGTCGAGGCAACGTGACTCTGTTCCCCTCGGCCATAGGAATGTGGAACTCGCCACCACCACCGTTTCAGGGCTGCGTTTTTTTGGTTTGGCCATGTTTTTGTTTATTGTAGTAGTACGGAGTTAGACTGATGGCCTTAATCTTAGTTGTCCTGTGGCTGTTGTTGTTTGACTTGCATCCCACTTGGGATGTGTTGCACACAGCGTTGGCGGTGTACGCTGCTTTTTTTCAGGAATATTTTGCTGGGTTTTTTCCCCCCTGGATTTTCTGTTTGCACAAAGTCACACACAGTCACTTGAAGATCTTTTTCTTGTTCGCGTTTTTTTGTTTGTCTGCGGTTGCACCCGACGATTCAAGAGCCGAATGGCTCACAGGGCCATACTAAGTAAATGGAACTGACTATGAAACTATGATGCGTGGCGGGTTTGTTTGTCGCGGTGTCGCCAGTGTGCACAGCGGCCAAGTGCCACACGGACGGCTGCCTTTCCCACCCCGTAAAGTGAGCGCCAATCGATCCACTGCTGGATGTAAGGCCTCCCCGTGCTCTTTGTGGTGGTGGTGGGTAGACCGATTGACCGTGGCTTGTTGGTGAAGAAGGCGATGGTGGAGGAGGCGAGTGGAGGGGAATCAGCCGTGACCAAAGGCATCGAAGACGGTGTCCGTGCGCGCATTGCGCTGTGTAACACGATGTTTTGTTTGCTGGGTCGTAAGCGTTATTTTCTAATTGCTCATGCCTCAAAAGTACAGACACGGGCTGTTATTATCCCCCCCCCACGAACTTTGCTTTTGTGACCAGGAACTTTACGTGAAGGGATGAATGACACAAATGCACACACCACGTGTTCTCATTGCAAATAGGTACATTTCTAAATGTTACTGTGCTGGTAGCAAAAGCAAAGTTTGTGGGGAATAAAAGCCATTTTCTGTACTTTTGAGGCATGAGCAACTTTGAAAATAACACTTACTACTCAGGAACAAAAACATAATGAATTTGTTACACGGTGTTATTAATGGAGTGGATAATTATTAACTTTGCTTTTGTGTCCTGGTCACAAAAGCAGAGTTTGTGGGGCATAATAGCCATTTTCTGTACTTTTGAGACAGAAGCAATTATGAATATAACACTACCCAGGAACAAAAACAATTATTTTTTTTGTTACGCAGTGACTTATCGATGAAGACAATGAGGGGCAGGGGGGGCATTTAACGGACTGCTGACTGCGAGACGACTGCCTCGTCGACTCAAAAGATCTCGGCAGCAGCGGTCGTCCGTGACACTGAGTGCCCTCATCATGAGACCTCCCTTGCCAGTAGATCAAACTATAAGAAGAGGTTTCACTTGTGGTGAGCATGCGTGCTCATAATATGTGGTTAATGCAGACACGATTTCTTGCAGGAGGTGGCAGTTTGGTGTTTTAACATCTTAACACCCGTTTTATTGCCACAAAGGGTAAAACCTATTCCTATTTTTGTCAAACTCCGGGGCTGTTATCGCAACATTTCCGTACGAAGCAAGCATTTGTTTTATTGTACCAGGTAAGGCTCACTGAGCTGCTATATAAATGTTTTTTTCAGAAGCAACCTGGCCCCACAAATGATAGCTCAACGAAGTGGCTTATCATCATGTGAAATATTTAAAGAAGTAGCCAAATAACCCTTAAACGCATGATGTTGACATGTGGAGGGAGAAAGCGGAGGACCCGGAGTAAAATCCACACGACCACTGGGAGAGAGAGACACGCATTGCCAGAAAGGGTACAACCTATTCTTACGAGTGCTCTTAACTGGACCAGCGGTTGTCATTGGACTTCCCATGTTACGTTGGTAGGGGGTCTTTGTTGTTGACTGTCGAACCCGTCCCTTGTTGGATTCTCCCGATTGCCCAAAATGTCACGGCGTGGATGCAGTCAGGATGGGCGAGCGCGACGTACAGATGAGGCAGGCGGGGAAGGATGAGCTGCTCTGCGTGTCGCCACTCTTGGCATCGTTCAAAGGTAAAGGGGTGATGTGTGCACCTACCTCGCTGGCTCTATGGTTGTCAAAACCCACCTCTTGTTACTGAAAAAATAAACGGGTATTGTTGAGGGCAACGATTATTCTGTAAATTCGACCCATTGCCCCGGTGCATTTGTTTTACTTTAATTGTTGTGCGGTGTTTATCAATTACGCACAGTTAGGAAAGGTTTAGCTCCCTGTTTGTAAACTATTAATTCATTCAGCTTTGATCAAGTGAAATATGTTGTGAAGATACTGGTTCCCATCATGGGAACGTGGAGTGTCCGCTGCTGTATCAGGACAGGTAGCAGAACAAAAAAACACCGCATAGAGACTGATTCAGTTTCTAAGCACTGCTAAAGGAGTCCCTGAAAGTTAACTAGGTTTGTGGATTTAATTAACTTGCATAAACAACACGACGTGTTGTTTTGATGAGGGGTTGATTCTTTGTTTACGAAGCAAAACAATTACAAGCGACTTCCAGGAACTTCCTCGTGCATCAGTATATTGATGTGTTAAAAACTATAGCACACCACTGTGTCATAAGACGTTCTCTCATTGCCGAAACGACAAACTCGGACAGGCCGGGACACTTAGCTGTGCGGTTACACGATAGAGCAATTTGATCATTCATTGTGATGAAGTGCGCAGTGAAGCAAGTTTCACTGTCAGCGGCCAGATGAAGGCGTTGCAGATGTGGGTCACGGCTGGCATTTGCGTAGGATTCCAGCTGGAGCTGGACGCGCGGCACGACAAGTACGAGCGGCTGGTGAGGCTGAGCCGCGACGTCACCATCGAGAGCAAGCGTACCATCTTCCTGCTGCACCGCGCCACTGTCAGGCCAGTCCCATCCCCCGGATGGGCGACGTAGCCGGCCGCGGTGGCTCTCCCGGCTACACCGCTCGCACTCGCCCGCACAGTAAAAACCGCCCTTTGCCAAACCACTGCTGGGTGAGGGCCTCCCACTTCCGTGTCGGTCGTGGGGAGCTCGACCATACTTCACGCTGGTCCAATGCCTGTTGGCGTTATGTGTCACAGTGAATGAAAGGTTCGTGGATGCTGTGGCGTCTTTTGTGTGTGCGCGTGGGACCTGTGCAGCGGGGCGAGGCTGGAGGATCTGCTGCTTGAGTCGGAATCGAAGCTGAGCGCCGTGCGGCAAAAGGTGCGCAGCATCGCTTTGGAGCTGCAGGGAGAGAACATGTACCAGTATCTGAGAGCCTTCACAGCAGGTACCCTCCCTGTGTCCTCCGGGTCGTTGTACTCTTACACTGGTACCACTTAGACGTGCATTCATCCGTGAACGTGTGCAGTCCTTTTTGTCACGCCACTGGACGAGAGCCTCTCCACACCATACGGGTTGTTGGAGTTATTTCATCATACTTCACTATGCTGGTCAAGTAGGGAGCATTGATGTGAAAGTATAGCAGTACAGTACAACACATTAAGTAGCATCTAATCTCACAACAAAGCATTTTATTTTCATAACTAATCCACTACAAATATCAGGGCCACTCAACTCACTGTGGAATAACCCAGACGCAACATCATAGGTCCTCACCAGTTTTACAGTTTATATTATTTACCTGCTATAAATTTCCACGTGATAAGCCACTTGATTGAGCAATCATTTGGCCAGGTTGCTTCTGAAAAAGAGCTTAAAGCTCATCGGGCTTACCTGGTAAAATAAATAGTTAATCATTATATAATAATCGGGTTTTTCCCCTTTTTTTCTGGCAACAAAACTGAAACCTTTTTTACAAGGATTCATGTCTGCATTAACCACAATACCTGCAGTCAAAATGCAAACAAAAAACATACTATGATAATATATGCATTGTCCTTGAAACTGATTGGTCCACACCAAGGGACGGCTTTCTTTTGAGCCTCGACCCAATTTGCATTTTGACTGCAGCTATTGTGGTTAATGCAGACATGAATCCTTGTAAAAAAGGTTTCAGTTTTGTTGCCAGAAAAAAGGGGAAAAACCCTATTATTACATTTTGGTACTGGCAAAGGAGGTCTAATGATGAAGTTAATCATTAGTTATCCTAGGTTGTCTCTAACATTTAAAATAAATAAAGCCAGCTATGCAGACCTGTTAAGTGGTTCACTCTGCCTGTTTAACAAACACATGCTTACCTAGCCATTTTATGTGGGCACGGCCAAATGAAGTTCACCACCTACCCCACACAAGTGTTTCTGTTTGTGCACTCAGAGGCTATGCTCAGTGTGAATAATTAAGCTTCGGTGTGGCCTATAACTGCACTCAGGTTATGAAGCCTTTTAAGAGCAACATAATAATGCCTACCTGCCTCTGTTACCTTGCCTTTAAAATATTTTACTTGGGAAATCTCTTGAGATGGAACATCTTGTTCACTCACAGGCCTGCAGGAGTACGTGGAGGCGGTGTCATTTCGTCACTTCCTGAGCACACAGACGCTCATCACCCGGGAGGAGGTCAACCAGCAGCTGGTGTTCCCGGGCGAGGTGCTGCTTCCACCCTTGGTCCACTTCGGGGCAGACCGTGGGCCCATCACACCATTTGAAATGCTTCATGAGCTTTCCTACATTTGGCTGTCCCCTCTCTTTTGCCTCTACACTCCGTCCTGTCCCATACAGTGTCACGTACATCATTTTATAAAAAAAATTATCTGAAATGAACGTAATATAGTGTATGTATGTATATTGAACTTCTTTCGCACCATACGTAGCCAACCATCCCAATCGGACGTGCGGGAAATTGCATATCCACCATTCAGTGCAGGTGTTCTTTGTTATTTGCAGGGTTGTTGATCTGTCAGAGTGGCATGGACAGAGTACCTCACTTGCCATTGGAAACTCATGAGTTGTAATTCCAGTTAAGGGCTAACTCGAACAATCTTCCTTCCACAGTCAATAACACCACTTTGTGGGATGTGAACAGTAATTTCGAATGGAAGGCTGGTCCCCTCCATAGCAAAGTGGATTTTCTAATCCTGGCTGAAGACCGCCAATGGAGTTTATCAGTACTCAATGCACCTTTGAGTGTGGGGACACTGAATTTTATGACAGGGCGAGTTGGCGTCTTTCATTTAAACAGTTCCGGTTAACTTTCAAGCACGAAAACATCGGATAGTTATACAAGTGTGTGTTTACCTTCTCTCTCCCCGATTCCCACCCCTCGCCTTATGTTTCTTCACCACCAGCCATCCGTGAGCCTGGAAATCACATTGACCGATTACATCCTGGGTGTGGCCGACCTGACAGGCGAGCTAATGCGCCTGTGCATCGCAAGTGTTGGCGGCGGTGGCGGCGGCGGTGGCGGCAGCGGTGGCTGCGAGCCGGACCCAGACACCCCCTTCCGTCTGTGCCGCTTCTTGCGGGAGGTGTACGACGGCTTCTGCTTCCTGGGCAACCTGGGGCCCTACGAGCTGTCGCGCAAACTGCACGTGCTGCGCCAGAGCCTGTCCAAGTGCGAGGACGCGTGCTACGCGCTGCGCGTGCGTGGCTCCGAGGTGCCGCGGCACATGCTCGCCGACCTGGTGTCTCTCCGTGGCGGGGGGGGGACGCGCGGTCTCGCCGAGGGTGAGCGAGACGGTGACGCGGGGTTGTAGCTCGCGCGTTCCAGGTCCAACGGCGCCAAGTTTTCCTGCGTATTTTTTTTATATACACGCGCGCTCGTGTGTTTTGACTTGTGTCGTCTACATATTGTCCATACAAAGTGCGTCGCTGCTCACATGACAGTGGGCTGTGCTCATATCTGTGGGCTGCTGCCTTGAGCCATCGGTGGGAATTCAACAAGGCTCGGGTGGAGGCCTCTCTCCCCATAGGGTAACCGTTGATGATTTCCCATAAGTGGTAGTCTTGTTGTTTACCCATGGAGGTGATTGGCTGAGCTGACTCCTGATTTTTGTTATGTGACCTGGCTATCAGTTGAACTTGCAAGTTATATGAAAGTGTCTCTTAAATTTCACTGCAATCGGCAGAGCTCTTGTCAGATTTATATTGGGGAATGAACGTGGAAAATAACACTGCTGAACTACCTCTGAAGGCTTTGCCATAACAATATTACCCTACTAATTTAGTAGTTCGCTCCATAGCTATTATTTAATTTGAAACTATACTACAGTGGCTAAGCCTGGCCAATTAAAATATATATGGGATGTTGGGATAATTATTCTTTTGGGTATGTGTGGGAAGAAGCTAGTTAATGGAAGAACCCACATTTAGGCTCCACAGATACGCAGGCACTCACATGTCTGTCTTACAACCCATTTAGTTTTGTTGAATTCAACAGCCTTCCCACACAGCCGCTCTACTGGCGTGTTACACCACTCACGCACTACTTGGATTACCCTTGGTTGGAGGTCAGAATTTTTGGACTCTGTAGTTCCGACTCTGTGCTTGATACAGGTGTAGCGTTACCTCCATCAACATCCTGGTCACTCTTGTCACATGTCCCCCTAACTCTGATCCACTCGCCACCCACGAAGCTCCATCCCTTTTCATGTTCCTGAACAAGTCAAGTGCCAGGTTACCCCTTGAGCTGACCAGACTGGCGGCAGTGTTGTATCAATGTCTTTTGACACTGATATAGAAGAGTGTATAGCCATTGGCTTGTTTGTAATAAAACGACTTTTAATAGGCTTTAAAATGCAAATAAATGCCTCGATACCTTTTATGTATTAGTACGTTCTGTTGGCAATTCGCATTCGATATGGATAGCACCTCGGCTTTGTAATGTATGTTGAACTTCTTTTGCGCACCGTACATAGCCAACTGTGCTAATCGGAGGTGCGCGGGAAGGACAAACTAAAATAAATCAAATCGGAGACAGAGAAGTTCAACTGGACATGGCAATTGGCGATCTCTTCAGAGACTGGACTTGGGCCGGGCCTTTTATCTTGTGTCAACAAGGTCCAGTTTTGGAAGAAAAAAAAAAGTTTAATTCTTTTCATACCCCATGGTATATAGTAAAGTCTCAGCTATTATATTATATGGATCTTTCGGTAAAGTCACGTAGAAAAATAATAACAATAAAAGAATGAAAATGTAAATACAGTGAATAAAAAATAATGAAAATATCACGACGTTTCGATCGCAACACAAGCGGTCGTCATCATGCGATCGAAACGTCGTGATATTTTTATTATTTTTTATTCACTTCATTTTCATCATTTTATTATTGTGATTATTTTTTTCTATCTACGTAACTTTACCGAAAGAACCATACAATATGAATTCCTGCAGTCGCGAAAGTTTTAAGTCAAAAGCTCAACTATTACCCATTTGTTTTCACTCGTATCTGTCTAGCCTCTTATTTGTCCTTTGAAGAAGGGCCATTGTACGAAACGTCACCTGCTTCATGCCATTCCTTTTAAGGCAACAGTGTTGTTGACGAATGCGTTGAATTTTTGTTCGTTCGCGCTTTCTACACCGCTGCGTTGGCAGCATCGCCAAATAATGTCTGGTTTTGATCAGGTCGGGAGCAGTCTGGGTAACAGCGGGCTTGGGTGTGAGCGCGGGTTTGAATTGAACCGACTCGCCAGTGGCAAACGGCCTCTGAGGGGCCATCCATTTAGTAGGTATGCAAAAATCTGCCAACTTTACCCCTCCCCCCCTCCCTGTACGTACACGTACTTTTTACACCCCCCCCCCCCCCCCACCTGCGTACGTACGCTTGACGCACCCCCCCCCCCCCCCGAATCCTACAGAACGGCCGAAAAGATCAAGGATTAATAATATTAATGTGTAGGAATAGGTTTTACCCTTTTACCTGGCACAAAACCTGACACCAAAAATATTAACGTGTTTAAGCAACCAGTCCACCGCCGGACCATCTAACTCATTTGAAGGCCAATGTAGACAAATTATTACCGAGACTTCACCCCTCCTCCCCCCTCTGTTTCCTATGCGTACGTACATTGTCAGTAGACCCCCCCCCCCCCCCCATACGCAAGCGTACGCATTTTGGTTAACCCCCCTTTCCTCCCTCCATGCGTACGCACTGAATGGATGGCCCCTGACTTAGTGTGCAACCCACATGGCGCTTTCACTCGCTCGCACTCGAAGCAGCAGAGGGCGCTCCAATGCAAAGTTAAGACGCTGGCCTTTGCTCGGAGGTGTACGAAATAATACGGAATGCATCATGTGCAGTGCATCTAAACCCATGCACGCCGTGGAAGTATTGCCATCATCTGTTGCAACAGCCAAACAGAATGCAAAAAATTTCACGCCGTTTTTATTTGCAAAGGTTAGCCTTGGCCGAACACTTACTTTGGGAAAATCATATGAATGGGCAAGTGTATTGCCATATGAGAGCGAACGCATTGCGTTTCATTATTTTGCAAGGGAACACAGTGAAACCGTGGCCCCACTGAACGGGATTTTCGGCTAATTTAAATCAACGTTTTGACTTCAGGCTTGATTTGTACGTTGAAAGAGTGCCCAAGTGACCCACTTTTGGCGGAAGACCATTAGCCGCATTTTAAATTCGTCTTTTTGGGAGTCGAACCTTGATTACGAGTACCAATTGTGACGGTGAATATGTAGATAATGGTCTGTGTGTCATTTGGGTTCGCAGCGCTGTATTTGTAGGTCAGACGTTTTGGCCACTGCTATGTCTATTAGAAGGCAGATATTCCGCTGTTAAGTACAACGACTACACATTTAATTGAAGATAAACGGGCTGCCCTGCGCCCGTTTGCGACAGCCAAGAATGTGTTTTGGTCACGGCCAAAGTACTGCCCTCCCCCCCTCTATAATGTAATATTCCCCATGACCAAACGGGCCCCTTTGTAAACTGCAGCCATGTGCACCTTCATCGGCCCAAATATATACTCTCAGTAAATCAAGGGCTGCTCAGCTTTGAAGAATGGGGGCACGATGTGAGCCATGTAACCAGCAGCGGATAGCAGTGCTGAGGCATGGTTTTAATGAGGATTTGTGGGTGTTGCGTGGGGCCAGAGCGTGAAAGTGCGAGCACGCTTGCGTTACTTGCGTTCATCAACATCGTCGGTCATGGTCTATCTACTGCTGTACGGAGGGCTCCACGCGTTGCCATCCATCACAGTTTCTGCGATCTCGTGCGCGAATAGAATGCGTACAGAAAAACTGCCGGGAAAGTCGTCGTGATGACAATGCACCCACGTGTAGATTGGTCGCCTTGAAATGTTGGTGACGTGGGTAGGAGCGAGGACCGGCATTTGAGAAATGTGGTTGCGGTTATACAATTAAATATATTGCGAGTGCAAACTTCGTGCGGTCGTTTGCAAAATGTTCATTTTGAAGAAGAAGAAGAAGAAGAAGGAAAAAAATTCCTGCAATAAATAGTGCAAAATGAGGAGTGGTTTCTAATATTTTCCAATTCAATAACGCGGACAATGTTACACGGTGCTTTTAATTTGGAACTGTTTATAGCTTGTGCACTCGGCTTAAAATACTAGTGGCTCGCACGCCGACAGCTCTGTGGCCCGACCACCCCCTGCCACCGTCACAAGTGAACTTTGCGTGGAGCCACGTGCAAATTGCAATATTCCTGCTCTTGCGTGTGGTCTCCAACATGATGATGACATGGGGGTCCTGTGGCCATGCCGTGTTGGGGTTAAAAACGTTTTGTCTCGGTATTGTTTTACACAGATTTTACATGGCCTGTTTTAATTTTGTAATGCGTTTGCCCATATTAATACAGTCTACTCAAGTCTCCAAATATTTTGCTGGTTTTCCTTTGGAGGCAGTGCCAAGCTCCACACAGTGATCAGGGAGTCCCTCTTCACAAGGGAGTTGTAGGTAATGATTGCTCTACTGTGCTGATGATACCTAACAATAATGAAACTCATCCCGTTTTGACGGGACAATGGTCTAAAGCCAGCCTGTGCGTTACATATATAATGTTGGGTGATATCACGTGATCTTGAAAGGCATGATGGGAGGACCAATCCTATGGTCACGTATGCACTTTTGGCCGTCTGGTCGTCGAGCGTTGCGTGTATGGTTACTTTACATGTGCTCGTCACCTTTACGGCCGGGGTGGTAAGAATTCTGGACGATGATGTCAAGGACCCAGTCCAGGACGTCACCTGCTCTTTTACCACAAAGCGGTTTTCATTTTTCACTCGCAGAGTAATGACGGGCTGAGTTGGCCCCCAGCAGCAATTTGAAGTAGTGACCTGGGAGTTAGTCGAGTGTTTTGATCACGTTGTTGCTCATCAGAATAACTCGTAAGAAGGAAAAGCCACCAGGATAGTGCCCATTAGTTTATAATCACACAGCTGCCAATGAGGATGAATTGCAGGATATAGTGGAATAACTTCACAAATAGATCTGCAGTTGAAGTTGAGCTTTAGATTATTGTGATTAATACACAAAAATCGGCAGATTTTCCGTATATCCTAAACATACTGTTGGGGCAAGTGCTGTTTGCGAGCATCTATGAAGGCCGGCTCGACACACGTGAGGATGGGTGGCCAGCAACCACGCCCAGACGCCTTTGTCTCCTTAATGGCGATGTTTATAGACCACACCAAGTACTCGGAGGCTGAGTCGACCTAGGGGTGCCCCACGACTGAGTGAGATAATTGTAACTGGTGTTGGCCGTGAGTGGGAATCGAACTCGGCCCACCGGGTTCATAGCGCAGCGCCCTAACCACTACACTATCGCTCCCCCAGATATACACATTCATATATACACACCCACATATGTACCTACTATAATCACCCAGGAATGTCTGTCTTTAACGCTCGTGACGTCACTCCACATCGACCAGCCCCCCTCATTAGCATGGCTTTTGGGGTTCCAATTTCTTTACGTGGCCACTAACAGTGAATTACGTGATGACCATTTTAAATGAGTGGGGTTATCAAGTGATTGACTTTATAAGTCATGTAAATAAATGAGTACTATAGTTTTGCTACCTTAGGTGGTACCGACTTCTTCTCTGAACCATGGACTAAAATGATTAATTACACAGATGAGCAAGAGTAGGGAAACTGAATCTGATCATGGAAAGCAGCACATCATTAAGCCTGAAGGGAACATTTTCACTCTGCCAACGATGACACTGGGATAAAGATGAAACGCAAGTAAAAATAGCATGAGAAAAGCTAGCAAAGACGCATGCGTGGAAATATGCTGAGAAACAACGTGGAACGCATGGACCAGTACACAATGCAATGTCGAGGGATCATTCTGAATGAGGGATAAGTTAAGTGGACTTGGGCAGGACGCGTCGCTCAAAGGGACGTTGGCCGATGGTCAAGAATAATGACGGAGTGGCAGCAAAGGAGACAGCGATGGAATGGCGCGTGTGTGTAGGTGCTGTTGTGTATTATTATATCAGGATCGCGAGAGATGGCAGTGGTTTTCCGATACCTTCACCCAGAAGTGGATTGATTATGGCTGTTGATGACAATATAAGATAATGTTAATGGTCAATGTGATCAGGTTTTTTTATCTAATGAATTGGTACTCTAAATGTGTTCAATATGGGGTGGCAACGTGGACTCACGGCCGTGCATTCGCTGCTCGTTCTAGAATTTTACGGTTCGAATCTAGCGGCTGCCCTGATGAATACCGCATGCGCTATTGCCGTAGAAATGTGCCAATCGGACGTTCAAGATTCCGAGACATCAGTCGCAAGACTAGGCCAGCGTGTTGCCGGCGTCATGGTCCAAATTTGA